ACCACTGTTCACATCACAGATAGATTTTCTTGTTTCCAGCGATAGATTTTCCTATTTTTGACACTATTTTTCGGTTAAAATCGCTGGTTTTACCGTTTTTAATCGATACTTTTGCAGCAATTTTCATTGCTGCTAACGATAACTGATAGCGGCAATAGTGTTAGTATCACCTTGCCATGGCTAATATCTCACCTATTCATTCTTCGAAACAAGTCTCCTCTATCTGTTGTGACAAGGGTGTGGATGGTGATAAGAAGGGAAATTGGTTGGGGTGAGAACCGCATTGATCAGTGAATAATCGAATTTGATTGCGGCTTTTTTCCCGTCTCATTCAACGAATAATTTTCAAAGCGATCCAACTTTAACGTACACTTCAATTGTGTATGTTCGTAGAGGAGAACTGAAAGAAATATATGAAGTGGATTCTCCAGTTAGAAGTGCCAATTCGCCGTAAGCTTTCACACACCAGCGACCGCCGTGTGCTTCGAGGAATTGACATGCTGAACGATAGGAAACCTGCAATGCAGACTTCATTTGCTTAAGTGTACAAAAGAAGAGAACAAGTGAATAATGAGGAAATAAAATAAACGACTGAAATAAAGTCGGGAGATATCTGATGGAGATTCCACTTTGAAAAGACTCCTTCAGTTTAACGATTGTCCACTATGAACGATATCAACTGCGAGTGACTTAACAAGACTAAAAGTGATTTTCACTTTAGCCAGGCACAGAAACCGTCTCAGCTCGTTACATTCATACCGCACACGAAAGATAGAAAGCGCAAAAGATTCCAGAATTCGATGAGTGAACGAAATTCGGTGAGTAAACCTTAAGTCCGGATAGAACATCCTTGTGAAGAAGCTGATTTTGTGCTGAATTCAACAGTATCAGTGCATCGTCGCCGGGCTGCGATGACAATGCCAGCTCGGTGTTCATGAACACCAAATAAAAAGTAACTGTCAAGCCGAGATTGTTGCGCTCAATACTTTATAATGGATGTTTTATTAATCCATCATGGCGAATGCACCTTGCTGTTATGGAGTGGCGTTAAGTGAAGGTAAACAATCAGTCATATGTACAGTCCATATTTCTGAAAGTTTCCTTAGTTCAGTAATACCCTCTTAACTTAATCCACTTTTTTATATGAATGATCGATGAGTGTTCGAATTGTATGGAAACGTTTTTATTCCATTCTCGTGACTAACTTGCCATACACGGTACTGTCTCTTTCCTTTGCTATTCAGATCATTCCGAACGGCGTTTACCACGAATCTGCCACCCTTCTTACCATCCTTATTCTATGATGCAAGAAGATAGGTGAGTAATCATGGGCTCATACTTTTCAGGATACCAATTTCGACTCACCAATAGGCTACATCCTCACGAGTACACATTCTGACGGATGATTAATCCTCATATGCTTGATAGTTCAAGTGAAGACTAATTTGCTTAGAAGCAGGAGAGACTTTTCGACTGCTGTTGCGGTTTGGATGATTGCTTATCTTTGGAAGTTTTCTCATAGTCAGTTATTTCAACTTTCGTCATCGTACTTATCCTGAAAAATGTAGTATTTGGAAGTGCTGACTCATCCAAAAAACCGGTACTTCTTCGATAGTCTTGTTATGAGTGTAATTTGTGTGATATTGCAGAACAAACGCATACATGCAATATTTCACATTGAAGAACAACAAATGTATAGTGCGAACAAGTTATTTAACTCTTCCAGTGCGCCTATCTACTCTTACCAAATATGCACAGCCACATTCACTATGCTAACATATTTACGTAGACTGATTTCGTGCAAGGGCAAGCACCATATGAGAAATTTCGACATACTTATAGCAATTTCAATTCAGTACTCAGAAGTTTTGATTTGATCACTGGATGGCGCACTCAAGAATGGTTTATTCATCACTAACTTCAGCCCTCACGATAACTTGTTTTTTTTTCGGTCAAACTCAATTTGTGAATCGTACATTTTAATACAAGGTACAATTTAGTTTCGTTAGTTGCTTCATTCTAGTTCAGTGGTTTTGAACCTTTCTTCCTCTTTGTACTGCTAGAAAATTATACGATGTACTCTACCCCCTGCAACAATTGCTAAAATATCCTCGCAGCCCTTTCCCAGTTGAGAAACCTTATCCTAGTTGCCTGTATTTGAACAAAAGGATTATGTTTCCATTGGGACAAAAACGATGTGGTCACCGTGACATAAACGAAAAGATTGCTTATTTTATACTTTGTTTACGTAAATCCATCAGCAAATGTGCAAAGTACACTATTAATTTTAATTACTGTGAACTTTTATTCATTATATTATAAATATAAGCGGAAGTGTTATACACCGACAAAGTCGATCGATCAATATTTGATCTACAAGGTGGAACGATTATAACTGATTGCGGAATGCTGGATCATATTCACTGCATTCGTCCTTATCGGGCGCTCCTCTCAAATTTGTTTCATCAACTTTTTTGCGGAATCACCTGAAGTATCAGTTAATCATTATCTGGTAGCATTACGAATGCAAGTATCTCCACAATAAGGTTCTATGAGACAAGCATAGGGAGTATGGTATCTGCAGGAAATTCAGTTTTCTCTAAATGACTATTCAAACCATTGGGTAGAAATTCATGTTCTCTTTGAATTTGCTTTCATTTTTCACCATTCAGGAGGCTTCCGAACTCTCATTACACCACATTTTGAAATTTACTCTATATTGTCAGTTCTTAACTGGCTGAGTTCAGAACGGCATTCATTAATTGAGAAATTCCCAAAATAGAAGAAACCAACTCTTCATCATTTCGCCAATGCAAGGAAATGCAGTGACAAGTGCGTTTTGATCATCTTTCGAAAGTTTCGAATAATCTTTGATGATTCCTCTGATTGATTTGAAAATTCCGTCAACTGATGACTCGGAAGCGAACGACGATACACGTTCAATAGTCTGAATAATCAAATGTAGAGTAAGAACAAGTTCAGGCGAACTGATATATAAATAAAGCTTATTCGTTCCATCTCGTTATAACTTTAATTTTCACTATGAATTAGGCGATCGATTTCAAGTTAACTTCCAATAATCTATAGTTAATTGGTCACTTATTTGATTAAACACCAAATGGAAGAAATGAATTCAGTTTGCAATGTATCCCATAGGAAACTTGAAGCATTTATCGAACCTTGAGCATGTATTGTCGAGCTTGTTCTGGAAGAGCATTGATTTTCGAGTAGATGGTTTCGTTAACCAACCGAAGTTTTTCGGCTAATTTAGCATCTTTTTTGGACACCTGAAAAGGATCACAAGTGAGCAATGGGATCGTTCATCGAAAATGGTACTGACTGAATCACAGTGCGATACGATACCTTGTCAATGAAGTCTTTTTCATTTTTTACGCTCCCATAGTCAATTGAATCAAACACTTCAACCTCTTGAGTTGTCATCTGAAGGAAGAATTGTAAAAACTCACTTCAGATTTATTTCTAAAAATGATACTGAAACAATGAATATGCAAGTATGAACTAATGTTGAATGATTCTAAACATGCATTGATTCGTTTGCGGCTGGAAGCTGTCAAAAAATATCAATCACACCTCGAACAATCGAGTAATTTCGCTTTCTCACATGGGTGAAAATTGTTTTCGAAGTAAAATTGTGAGAATGCAGGCAACAGTGAATTTGTTATGTCTGGCCGTATGATCACTATCAATAAGATTCGCTTACGATCAACTCGAATGCAGCAACCAACCTGAGCGAGGAACTGTCGCAATTCATCGGGAAGATATTCTGCAACAGAACAAATATGCTCGAGGAAAATTGATGAATGTTCAATGGCTAAATTTTGCAGTTGGAATGGAAAACACTGGCGACATAAAGCTCTGACGAATTCAAACGGACTAGCGTCTGGTAGCAGTACTGAATCAGTGATCAAACTTATGAATTAATCGAACTGCATATTCACTTGCTTCAAACTTACTTCCATAACTCTCAATATAGGTTTGAACTGAAGAGAGCGATTTTTTTGCTGAATACCCTTTCAGGATATCGTTTTCGTCATTCGATTTTGACGCAATCGCCTCTCCACTAAATATGCACAGCAACAACAGCGTTACACTTGATCTCAACATATCCAACGAAATCTAAATCAGATATTGAGATGTTAGATTCTGGACGGAGCAACACAACCGAATTGA